ACAAAATGAGAATCTTAGTGAAACTCAAAAATCATCTAAAGTTCAACCTATGAGGTCTAATAGGCAGAGACAACCTTTTACAAGGTATAATTCTGATGAGTATGTGACCTTGACTGACGAGGGTGAACCTGAGTGTTTTCGAAAGGCCATGGAAAGTGATGAAAATCAAAAGTGGATGGATGCAATGCATGATGAGATGAAATCTGATCCGCGGTCGCTCGCGGATCAAAAACGAGTAATTTTAGAAAAATGCAGTACAGCGACAGTGACTCGGAATATCGTCTCACATGAATTCTTGTAGGAATAATCAAATACAGTAACGAAATATGGGGGGTTTTGATTAAGATAAAATAAACGAAAAATAAGTGATTAGAAAAAGTGATTGTAGTAATGAGTTGAAACGACTAATTTACTGTTTTCATTTCCCAACTTATCATCGATCCTAATCATTCCCAATTCCTAAGCGGATTCTATATCCTTTCCGATTATAATAACAATCAACAAACGCAATTGATATTATACGATACACGTTCCTAATTTATGAATTAAGCAAACAGATAAAATAGTAACCGTGAATTAAGCAAACACGAGAAACATACGCGGATTAAGCAACCGCGATTAAAGTACAAGAACATGCAATCATCGAAATAAATCAATCATCCCTAAGATAAATCGAATTAAGCAAACAAAATATCATAGAGAAGAATTGAAAGGAAATAGATTTTATTGGAAATTAAAAGAGCCTCAAAGTGTTGGCGGGAACCGATTACAGCAGATTAATCAGAAGGAATTAGTTCTCCATAATTCATACCAAACTCCAACAAATATTTTCGTGAATAGTGAATAGGATACTGTAAACGAGGTTTCCCCTCAAAATAAAACAATGGATTCAGTTCGTAACCCAACTGAGTCAAAAACATAACCCAGGCCCAAAACAAGATCAAAACTAAAACAGAATTCTAATGCTGTAACTTGAAACGAAATTCTGGAATTTTGAGCTCCGAATCTTACTTCGACTCCAACACGAAATTCATAGCTTTCTCTCTTAGCTTTCCGGCGATTTTTAGAACGCCTCAAATGGATTCCCGGAACTCCAGTTATGATCGTTTCCGTGCAGACTGCTAAAGCTGAAAAATAGTTGCGATAATTAAATTAAACCAAAAATAAAATAAAATAAGAAAACATAATAAAATATAATAATAAACAAAATAAAATAAAGAAATGCCTAAGTAAAAATGTAGGAGAATGTGCATAAATATGCACTGATCAAAATCATTGGATGATAATCACACGTATGATATAGTGAAGCTGCCTAAAGACAAAAGGCTTTGGAAAGAAAATGGATTTATAAAGTTAAACATGAGAGCAACTCTAAGTTTCCGAGATATAAAGCCAGATTAATGGTGAAAGGTTTCCGTCAAAGAAAGGGTGTTGATTTTAATGATATTTTCTCACTTGTTATAAAGATGTCATCAATTAGAATCATGTTGACTTTGGCTACTAGTCTTGATTTAGAGGTGGAGCAAATGGATGTGAAAACGACTTTCCTTCATAACAATTTGGAGGAAGAGATCTACGTGAAACAACCCGATGGTTTTAAGTTAAAGGTAAAGAAGATCATGTGTGTAGATTGAAAAATAATTTATATGGGTTGAAGCAAGCTCCAAGGTAGTGGTACAAGAAGTTTGAGTTTGTTATGTGCAATCAAGGATACCAGAAGACTGCTTCAGATCATTGCGTGTTTGTTAGAACATTTTCTAACGATGACTTCATTATCATGTTGTTATATGTTAATGATATACTTATTATAAGAAAAAATATTTCTAACATTAACATGTTAAATAAGCAATTGGGATAGTCACTTACCATGAAAGACATGGGAGTAACTAAGTAGATTCTTGGATTTAGAATCATGTGTGACAGGAAAGAGAAGAAAATTTGGATGTCACAAGAAAATTATATAGAAAGAGTGCTGCAAAGATTCAAAATGGAAAGTTCTAAGGCGGTAAGCACTCCTCTCGCTACTCATTTCAAGTCGAGTTCTAATCAAAGTCCTTCAAGTGAAGATGAAACATTTAATATGAAACATGTTCTTTATGCATTTACCGTTGCTAGTTTGATGTATGCAATGGTGTTTATAAGACCAGATATAGCACATGTTGTTGGTACAGTCAGTAGATTTTTGTCAAATCCAGGTATAGAGCATTGGAATGCTGTAAAATTGATTTTAAGGTATCTTCGTGGTATTACTTCTATGAGGCTTTGTTTTGGAAGAGATAAGCCTACTCTAGTGGGGTACTCTGACTCTGATATGGTTGGAGACATTGATTTTAGAAAGTCCACTTCAGGCTATATGATTAAATTTGTAGGGAGAGATGTTGCTTAGCAGTCCAGATTGCAAAAATGTGTAGCACTATCTACTACAGAGGCCGAGTTTATTGCAATTACCGAAGCATGCAAAAAGTTACTATGGTTGAAATTTTTTTTGCAGGAGCTTGCTTTTGTTTAAGACAAATATGTGTTATTTGTTGATAGTCAAAGCATTATTCATCTTGGTAAGAATCCGACTTTTCATAATAAGTCCAAACACATTGATGTGAAATATCATTGAACACATGATGTTTTAGATGCTAAGGTGTTAGAGTTAGCTAAAGTTTATACAGATGATAATGGTTGTGATATGATGATTAAAGCATTACCAAGATGGAAATTTGAAGCTTGTTGTGATATCATCGGTTTGGCGATTTTCTCTACATAGTTATGAAAGGGAAATTTGTTGGGTTTGGACTCCTTTCCTATTTAGAGAAAGACCCAAATATGATTAACCCATTTGTCTCACTTATTTAAGTGGAGAGGATCAATTTAGGATTGAGAGAGATAGAGAAAAAAACAAGGATTTAAAAGAAAAAAAAGGAGAGGAACTCATTCTCGTTTTTATGCAACCAGTCTCACTAAATCGGCGATCTCCGATTCGTTAACAGTTAGATCGAACTCAAATTTGATGGACAGGTTCATAACCCATATATCTAACTTTTGTCCGTTCAAAATTTCAAAACAACGTCTGAGGTGAAAGTTATTTGCTTCGCACTAAAGCTGCAAATTTGAGAATTTTTTTTCCAGCTTTTTAATTTTATTTGTAAGCTAGTTTGCTTTGTGATTTGCTGTTGTTAGCACTAGTTTGTGAATCACTTTAAGACTCTCTTGTAACCTTAATTGATTATAGTGGAATTATTTCTTTTGTCTGAACGACTCGTGGTTTTTACTCTCATATTGAGGGGTTTTCCACGTTAAAAATACCGGTGTACTTTTGTGTATTTATTTGTTCGATTTGCCGTCTTATATTTGTTTTTGATCCTCAAGATTCCTACAAGTTTGGGAGAGTTTTATATTCGTTGCGTATTGATCTATTATTGTGTCTTAATTTTCCATCAAATTTTACGTTAAGAATTTTTTATATTCTATTTTTTTGGTTAAGGAGTTATTTTTATTAAAGAGTTTTTAATTTTTTTTAAAATCTTTTTGGTTGATCATAATAATAAATGACTAATTAATTAATTAATTTATTTATTTTTCTATTAAAATATACATTTTTGACCGACCGAGACTATTTAAAATTTAATAAAATATTAAAATTGGTCACTATGAACACAATACCTATTTAATATTAAAATATTTATCTGAGTATTATATATTAATATTAAAATTTAGAATAATAAAAATATTTATCTCACAGAGTTACTATCAGTCCAATACCATTTTTTTTTCATCTCACGAATCCATATAATTATTTAATAGTTTATTTAGTAATTGTTCTTAATTTATTTTATAATTAAATAAATTATTTTAAATTTATAACTGTATCTAAATATATTTTATTATAATTTTTTTAAATCAAATATCTCATTACAATTATATAATAAATTAGTTATAATTTAAATAAATTCACTCATTTAATAATTACATATTTTATTTATCAAATTAAATATTTTATTTTTATTAAATTAGATATTTTTTATCCAAATTATATATAGTATTGTGCTATCACTACGAATGCACGGGTCCATTGAATTGTATTTACATGTTTATCTTTTTATTATTTTGTTTACTTGAAGAAAATATATTATATATTAAGATGTATTTTGGAAATGATTGGTATGAATATGCAAAATTAAAAAAATTTAAAGTTGGTAATGTCTTGATTTTTCATTATCTGTTTGTTTCTGAGATGTTGTACGTTAAATTGGTCAGAAAGTTAAAAAACAAAAACAAAAAAGGAGGATTAGTTAAATTGGTCAGAAAGTTAAAAAACAAAAACAAAAAAGGAGGATTAGTGAAAGTAATATATGAATGTTTACAATATTTTGTTTGTCATTTATGTGTTTAAATGTTGAAAAAATAGATGGTGCACTAATAATGTAAATTATTGTCAATCAATGACAACCATGTTCCTGCCAAGTCAATCTGTAAATTTTAAATTATTTATATAATTTAACACTTTAAAGTATTATGATCAAATATATGTGTAATATTTTTATACTGACAGTACAGTATTATTAAATTCTTAAATGTTTATTTTAAGATAAATTGTTTTATTATTCTATTAGTAATTTAAAATTTGATTATGAGATTAATATTTATGTTTTTCTAATCATATAGTCTAAATAATCTAAATAATATCAAAAAATTTATTAAAAAAAATTATATATTTTTTGTTTCAAAATTGCATATTCAAATATAAAAAATAAATAGTCTAACCATTTATTAGTTAAGGATTCGCACCGATCCTTTACTTTACGAGTTAAGGTTAAAAAATCAAATTAACCCATGAAGCTTAAATTAGTCCTGACCCGACCCGTTTACACCATTCGTAACTTAACAAAGGGGTAGTAATACAACTAAGCACCACCTTTTTTCTTCTTATCTCGGATTCACTCCAAGATACCAACACTACTCACACTGGTTAGGGTTTATTCAGGGTTTCGCGCTCTCTATCTCCGGCTATGGCGAAACCTGGAAGAGGTCGTCGCTCACCACCGTCGGGTTCCGTCTCCGGATCTTCCTCTCTTTCCTCCTCTTCTCGCTCCTCTTCTCGCTCTCGTTCTCGTTCCAGATCCTTCTCTTCCTCCTCCTCCCGCAGTTCCAAGAGCCGCAGCCGGAGTCCTCCTCCTCAGAGACGGAAAAGGTAGCCTCCGATTTTCTTTTTATCTTTGAGAAATGGTTTAAATTTTGAACCAGTAGAAGAAAATCTAGAATCTTAACGAGAAGCCAATGTTTTACAATTTGTGCATTTTTATCAATTTGATTCGCGTAGAAGATGCGAATTACTGCAGAAATGATTGTTTTAACATGCTTCTTATTATGATTTTGATCTTTGAAACTCTTATTGTAAATATGGCTACTTAATATACATCGTATTATTTTTTCTTTTGTTCTGTAGTTCCACTGAACCAGTTTTTTCTTTTTTGTTCTGTAGTTCCACTGAACCAGCTAGGCGAGGTCGATCTCCTGCTCTTCCTCCCCCTCCTCAGTCTAAGAAAGCTTCTCCTCCCCCAAGGTAGAGTGCTTTCAAATTTGCTATTTCAGTCATAATTTTTCCTATGATACTTCTTGTATTTGTATATGTCACTCATGAAGATGGAGACTAGTGATTTTTATTTCCAACAATATTTTTCATATATCTTGATGTAGATATGAAAATTTCATTTTATTTTTGCTTTTTATCTACCATATCTTGATGCTCGTTGAAGTTTAGCATGGTATGTCTTGCTAGGAAGTAAGATACTAATTAGTAGTGGAACACCACATTAGCCAATTTATACCATGTCAGGTGTAAAAAGTCTACTCTATCTTGAGTTCATCACTGACTAACAATATATATGGAGAATGGCTAGCGAGTTTTGAATGTCTTTGTTAGAAATATAGATTATACACAAAGATTGTCAAACTGAGATCCTGCATAGGATTGCAAGAGGGGTAAAGATTGTAAAATGTTAGATCTTGAGACAAATATTGCAAGATCCTATCTAAATTTTAAACATGAAAACATGACAATGAAATTACTTAATTAATGAGTAGTAATAATGCTTTTAAACATTTTATTTTATATTTGAATGTATTTACAAAAGAAAGGATATAAGAACATTAAAGCCAAAGATTGTTCGGTACTTGGTTTAGGCATAAGCCTAGCAAATGTGTCAAATAGAGAAATGGGTTATCTTTGCTGATGTGGCTAGTTAGTAAAAGGGGAATGATAGTTATATAAAGGATAGGGATAACAAGAGAGAAGAGTGGTGAATTATTCTATTAGGAACTGTAATGGTTTGGGCAGAGAGAATTGTCTCTTCTTCGTGGAGCTTAGCTCTGGGATTGCAGAATTCTTCTTCTGTAATAGTTACTGTTTTTCCATTAATAATACAATTTTTTTTGTCTTGATTTTGGGTTCCTAACAAAGATCCATTACAAAGTTTATACACAATTGGGAAATAATATGTTAGATAGAGATATAAGGCTTAGATAGATCTTATAAAACTTAAGCAATCCTCATCTGTGGTAGACAACTCTAAGAGCTTCAAACCTAGAGTTTGGACAAGGAAGAATGAGGGCTGATAGTTCTGTTGAATGTTAGATGAGGGAAGACCAATAAAGTTAGTTCATTGAAGATAAGGGTTAATTATATTATTTTTCCAAACTGGGCTGCACAACCCAAATCAGTGTTTGCTCATAGGTTCAGAACTTGAACACACTTCGATCCAATGTGTCTAATTTCATCCAGCGATTGCATTAGTTTATGACTCTAAGTATTGTGAATAGTAGAGAACAGCGGGGTGTTACAATTCCGCTACTCAATAGTGCTATAGATACTATAGCTGCTATTGACTCTACTATCTGTAAGTATCATGAATAGTAGAGAACAGCGGGTGTTACAATTCCGCTACTCAATAGTGCTATAGATACTATAGCTGCTATTTGACAACGTTTTGTTCTAAATAGCATATCGCAGTCGCAGAACAATAGCGTTTTGTCTAAATTCAGCTATGCTGTAGGGCCACCTCAGCTGCTATTTACCAACATAGGATAGGGACAGCATTGGGAATTTGGGATGATCTTGTACCCAAATTTGACAATACTGAATATACACCGGTTAAACTTGTTTTTTTAAATTTCAGTGCATGCCTTTTTATTACATTTTTCAAATGTTAAGCTTATTTTAATTTTTTACTATTATCTCCCACTTATGTTTTTAGATTAAATTAATCATGCTGTGGAAGTCAGCCTTCTAATGCCTAATCATACTTCTTATACCTAATTGCAGGAAACCTTCTCCTGTACGCGAGTCTCTTGTACTGCACGTTGAAAAACTCAGCAGGAATGTCAATGAAGGCCATTTGAAAGAAATTTTCAGTATGTTAAACTCTTTCAACTTCTGCTTTCGTCCTAAACTGTGAATAGAGACACTTATTTCATCTGAAACCAGTGTCTCATGTTGCTTTTCATCATTTATACTTCAATATCAGTATTCATATTATTAACTGTGAGGCAGTTTCTATATATCTTTGCATGCATTCTATAAATAATTGAGAACTTTTTTAGTGGCCTTTAGAAGCTTGTACCAGTAATTGGAAGAGAACTTTAAGTGATCTTATATCTTATTAAGGAGCTCATATTCTCTTTCGGTAACCTCTTTTCAGGTAACTTTGGTGAGGTTGTAAGTGTGGAGTTGGTGATGGATAGAGCTGTAAGTTTGCATTTAATTTGGCATGGTATCTCGAAAAGAATTAAATGCAAATTTCAATGCACATTTTTCCATTTTTAAAATTCCAGGTTAATCTTCCAAAAGGATATGGGTATGTGCATTTCAAGACAAGAGGGGAAGCTGAGAAAGCATTAAATTTCATGGATGGTGTAGGTTGCTATTGACCTTGTAGGGTTGATTTCCACATTTAAGATTGTTTGTTGCTGTAATTTGAAAATTGATGCCTTTGTTTTTTTTGTTATATAGGCCCAAATAGATGGCAATGTCATTAAGGCAAGATTTACTCTACCTCCAAGACAGAAAGTTTCACCACCTCCAAAAGCTTCTGCTGTTGCTCCAAAGAGAGATGCTCCTAGGACTGACAACGCCGGTGCAGATGTTGAAAAAGATGGGCCAAAGCGTCCAAGAGAATGTATATGTTCGATATTTCGTGCAAAATTTTTGTTTTCTATTTATTTATCACATTGGTGGTTTTTATTTTGGTATTGAACTAATAATTTCATGATAACAGCACCTCCTCGGAGAAAACTTCCTCCCTCACCACGGAGAAGATCTCCTGTGCCTCGAAGAGCTGGATCTCCAAGACGACTAGAATCTCCTCGACGCCGTGGAGATTCTCCTGTCCGTCGTCGATTAGATTCTCCTTACCGCCGTGGAGCTGGAGACACACCTCCTAGGAGGAGACCTGTGTCTCCTGGAAGAGGTCGTTCTCCATCTCCCCCACCTAGGCGCTTGAGATCCCCTGCAAGGTTGGCTTGTGATTGCAAGCATGTTTTTAATAACAACTTCCTTATCAAGTTGACTCATTTATTTATCATTTTTGTAGAGTCTCACCTCGAAGAATGCGTGGAAGCCCAGGCCCAGGTCGGAGACGTACTCCTCCTCCACCTACAAGACGCCGGTAAGCTTATTTTGAGTGTTTATCTTCCTTGACTATTTTGCGATTTTCATTTTATCGCACATACCATTGATTGACCATTGAAAGAATGAATATTTTCCTCTAGTTCACCTCCCAGAAGAGCTCGTAGTCCTCCTAGAAGATCTCCAGTTGCTCGTAGGCGTAGTCGCTCTCCAATACGTAGATCTGCACGCTCTCGCTCAAGATCATTCTCACCTCGCAGGTAATTACATCACATGCTAAATCTCAGTTATCTAAAATTAATTTGTTTTTGTGCATAATATTTTGATAGAAGCATAATAAACAAGGGATGTCTTTGTCAATGAACATGTGAACATATTATGCTTGGATCCGATCAGGGTTTTGTAGTTAGCCAGAATGCAACATTCCCTTGAATGGTCATGTATGCAGTCCTGTATCAAGGTTTACTAGAAGCAGGACGGAATAGTTTATAAAATGAAAAATTAATTTGTTACGTGATGAAATATTGGCAGAAGAGTTGGGTATCACCATCCTGTTGCTTAGGAGGAAGAAATGCTTATTTTACAGAATACTCAGTGTACAGAAACATTGTAATGCATATGCATAAAAAATTACAACGAGAAGTTATAATATTTTTGTTTCTGCATTCCTAGTCATGTTTTGATTTATTGAACTCCGAGTGCTAACACTTTAAAATGTATCCACCCCCACATTAAAATACTTATTGACAGAGGTCGGCCACCTGTGAGACGGGGAAGGTCATCATCTTACTCTGATTCACCAAGTCCTCGCAAGGTTTGTGTCTTTTATTTGGTGTAAATGGTATTATTTTTTACGCAGTCAATAAATCATTCTTTCATAACTTTGACAGGTATCCCGGAGATCGAAGAGTCGCAGTCCAAGAAGGTAACATGTACAATTTTTTATATAATGGTTTTCGTGTCTAATTTATTTATTCTCCTTTCTATTTGTTGTGGTGAAGGTTAACATGGTGAAGTTAATCTAATGTCTCATTATGGTGAACTATTGAAATACTTGCCTTTATAATTTTATGCTTTCTTATAAAATTACTTTTGTTTTTTTAGAATTTATACAAAACCCAACAGGTTACAAATTTATACTTGCCTTTATAATTAATAATAGAAGAGTGAGAAACATTGTTACCAAATGAAGTATAACAAATGAATTATCATCCAAGAAATGACATCAATTGATACATAAGGTGAAGAAAACATGTTACACATAATTTGCATAAATAATCCGAATTTAAGTTGTTTCTAATGAAACAAAAACTAACTTGTTACACTTCACTTTATGGAAAATAGTACAGCATGCATCTCTTATACCTGCACCACTTAACCAGTGTTGATACACATTTAGTCACACACTCATGAGTGGTTACAGTAGACTCTAAAAATGGTTCTCAACTTATAAGTCTTCTATGAGTTAAATAAACAAATAAAATGAACAACAAAGTTGGATCTAACAATTAAATCATATTAATTATTAAAAATCAAATAAAATATCTAATCTAAGGGTCTGTTTGGTTCAATCGAGCGGAGGGGAGGGGAGTGATTTTAATTACATATATGTTTGGTTCAAAATATGAAAGGGGAGGGAAGGGGAGGCATTTTATTTACAAATATGTTTGGTTCACAAGGGGAGGGGAGATATTTTAAAACTAATTTACTTTTTTATCCTTCTAATTTTACCATAAGACTTGTGATATTTACCGTTTATAATTCAAATACAAATTTATTGACGAAATATAAATATTCAATCAGAGATCATCCTGAAATATTTTATAAAAATGCAACGATTATAATATATAATTGGCTAAATTATAGTTTTGGTCCCCCTATTATTATAAACAAAAACATTACGATAACTAAAATTAACATTAAAATATGAAAAATAAAATAATTTTTTTAAACAAATATAATGATAGTAAGATGAAGATATAAAAATACAAAAAATATAAAAAGAAAGATTAAATTTGTTCAAAATAAAACTTTTAACTTTGTTATAAGTTAAATTTATATTTAAATAATAATAAGGGTAATTATGTAAATATAATTATAATTAAAATCAAGCACCTCTCTTCCCCTCCAAATCGGGAGAAAGCAAAAAGTGATTCATGAGGGATTTTGGTCCCCTCCATCTACCTCCCCTCTCCTTCTTAAAATTTGAACCAAACACATAAGTTATTAAATATTCTCTCCCCTCCCCTCCATTTACCCCCAACCAAACAGACCTCTAATAGTAATTTTGTCATGGAACCTGTGTACCCAATTTCTCAGATAAAAAATCTCAACATAAACATTCCATTTTTTATTTCTTATTTGTGCCCATAGAGCTCTTGTTAGCAAGAGGTATTAATAAATTCTATGAAATCACTAATTGAAGATCCAGTAGATAAATCACACTTAATTGATATAAATAAGTCTTAATCCCCCAATGAAATAGCATATAGATAAATCATACTTAATACTATAAATATGTCTTAGAAACCTTAATTGAATGTATACTGGTTAAATCATATTTAGTTAGTACAAATAGGTTGTAGGAAGTCGCTAATTGAATATCCAGCGGTTAAATCATACTTAATTAGTATATATAATTCATAGGAAATCACTAATCAAAGAACCAGCAGATAGATTATACTAATTAGTATAAACAGCCCTAAGAAATCACTATTTGAAGACCCAATAGATAAATCATACTAATTAGTATAATTAAGTCTTATAAATAAGCTCTAAAAAATTAAAACAATATAATAATATAAACAGGTTATTGTTTGACCATTGAATTTTATTAAATCAATGGTTATTTTTGTAGTTCACCATGTTAGCCTTCACCTTTATTTGTATTCACTGTCTTCTATCATGCTTATAAGCTCCTATAGAAGAAGATTATGATTCATCTATCATATTTTTTAACTTGTTTAAGAGTGTAGTTATTATGACCTTAAACAATATTATGATAAGTTTCAAGGTTGTTTTGAAGAATTTCTACCGGCGATTCTCCTTTTTGGAAAATATTTAGAAAATGAAACACTGCTATTTAAAGCTTGAAAGTTGTAAAAACATTTGCAATTGGATTTGGATCCTCTCCACTCTATTTTCTCTATTTTCTTACTCTCTAGGATTTGGTTTATCTTTATTTTTTCCCCCCATTTCTTTTGCTTACACTTTATCTCTTATATAATAAACTCACTCTCTAACTGAAATTTTCCAAACAACTTGCGTGCTTCAAATAGCACAGGGATGCATTCCTAAGTAGGAAGTTCATATGCTTAGAATTGATATCACATCAATCTCTCTTTTCTCAAGTGGCATTTTTTTATATCAATTGAATTTTCGGTTCCAGTGATTTTTGAGTGAGATTCTTATATCAACTTCAGCTAATATTATTAGACCAGAGTTTATTTTTCTTTCTTAAATTAAACACAATGTTTTAAAAAAGATTTGTACATCAGTATTGCCAGCTTTTAAATAACTCTGTAAAATTGTATTTGTTAGAATTGTGTTTGATTTAATTACAATTATTGCATCTTCATTTTGTGGTTTTATTGATCCGCGTCTTCATTTTGATTCTTTACTAATGTAAATTTCCCTCTAATTCAGGCCTTTGAAAGGAAGAGCAAGTAGCAACAGTAGCAGCAGCAGTTCACCACCCCCAGCCCGCAAACCATAGATAATTCCTGTATATCTGTTTCCTCTGATATGTTTATCAGGATTCTGTACTAGCAACCGAGAGTTATTCTAGCTGTAAGGATGCTTGGGGTATTTGTTGCATCTTATGGTTGTCTATTGTCTAATACATATTAGAGATTCAAGTAGTGTGAGAACTGAGTTACATTATTCTGCGTTTGGGTTTTGACTTTAGCAATGCTGTTTTTCCTTGAAATACAAATTTGGAAATGGTATTCTTAGCCCCTTGCATCCAGAACGGTTACAATTGATAATTGATTGAATCTCTTCTAAAAATCTGTGAAATTATATGTAAGTGACAAATTTAGAGTGCAAATAAGGTGTACGGTGTATGGATTTATTTATACATATTTTTTATCAAATAGTTTCTATGAATTACTACTTATGTTAGCAAACAGGAATTTATCCTTAATTCATAATAAATAAAACAGGAATTTATCCTTAATTCATAATAAATAAAAGAGCTGTAAGTTTTAGTTAGTGGCTACAATGAAATGATAATGGTTAGGGTCTTAAATAAATGATTTGGTTTGAGAAATATTGTCTTAAATATTCTCTTCTAATCTAATGGTTTGGTATGATTTGAAAATTTTAAATGATTTACTAAATCAAATTTGTAAACGGTATATCAAACTAATGATTTTGATTCGATTTTAAATAAATTGAAACAGTTTAGTTGAAATAGTTCAGTTGAAGTAAAATTTTATTATGGTAATGATTTTGATTCGATTTTAAATAAATTGAAACAGTTTAGTTGAAATAGTTCAGTTGAAGTAAAATTTTATTATGGTTTAATTTGGTTTGATTTTTCACCTAATCATATGTGATATGAAACTTCAAGGGCCTTTATATCTCTATACTATTAGAATCATGTGGTAAATAGTAATGTATTTCTCTTAATATTAAAATATACACAATTTTTTACACTTCATTATTTCAAAATCTCTTGGTATTTTTTTTTTGAAAAAGAGAAAATAGTTTTTAACCTGTATAATCAATCATGCTTATTTAGACAATCAATTCTGAAGTATATCTTGCCTTATTGTTGTTTATGAATGTGGAATAATGGATTATGAGACACATCTCTTAATAATCGAATATGGTTACCACACAATCAATTATGGTGCGTATCTGAGCAAATATTTCCCAAAAGTCTTTTCAATAGTCGATTATAAGATTTCTATAATTGATTATGAAGTGGTTTTAGATCTTTTTCATTGTTTCATTTCTTACGAAAATTCATGACAATTCAACTATATAAAATACTCTAGTGATCATTTGTAAAACACATCAACTGACTTAAAACTTCTAAAAGTCTTCTCTCTATTTTATAATTTTCATACACTTAATATATAGTTTTGTATTAAGAGACAAATTACTATATATAATTCCGATCTCATTGTAAATTAAGAGATATTTATTCTCTTAAACTTGTAAGATATAAAAATTGCAAGTTAAATTTGAGTTAAAAGCTTAGCGTAAAGGTTGCAAGATGATTTAGCAGTAAAAACTCGGTGTAAAAGTTATAAGTTGAACATGTGTTAAAAATTTAATTGATAGTGAAAATTATATGGCTCTCTCCTTGATAACTAAAAGTAGGCCACATGATTTGGGTTGAAATAGGATAAACAATGGTGTATGATTTGGGTTGAAATAGGATAAACAATGGTGTATGATTTCCTTTATGTCGTATCTCTTTTTATTTATAGTTTTTTTTATTTAAAATCTTGCTCCTAGTCTTATTTATACGCAAAACCTTTTTGAAAATATTTTATTTTATAACACTTTAAAAATATTTTAATATTCACAAAATTCACTCCATCTTGTGTTTGATGTCATTTGGTCAATAAATAACACTAGAGCCTAACTCTTGCATATAAAATAGTCATCTCAAGAGGTAGGATTGTGGTTATATGTGTTGTGTAGGTTATGCTTATGTTGTCTATGATTTTAATGATGACAAAAAGAATAAGCTAAGTTAATTACGAGCATCATCAAAGTAGAAAAAGAATGCACTTATCAAAATGAAAAGCTAAGAAGGTTCTATTGTTGAAAGAAAAAAAACTTCCAATGCAAAAATCAACATCAAAAGAAACTGTAGTCGTGAAAATTAGCATGATCCTGTGTGTTTGATTGTAATTCTATCATTTATAATCAATAATGTGTAAATAAGTGTCAATATCGTTCAAAGTACTAAGTCAATACACACACTAAAAATGATTTTATAAACTTCATCTATTTCAAAAACTTTCTTAAAATCAATCATGACCACTCTTTATTCAATTAGGATGCATCCAAACCAATTAGGAAAGAGAAATGTCATTCTCTAATCAATTAAAAATTATTTTTAATCTGTTAAGGAGCAAGTTCGTTATCTAATAAGCTATAAACCATCTTAATGGATTAGACTCAAAATATGACTAAAATATTTTTTTTAATTTAATTAGTTATGAATAATTAATTAGTGTTGTTAGACGATGGCAATGATTTAGAAGGGGGTTGAACAAATCACTAATTTTTAATAAAAATCGGCGCTTAAAAATTGTTTAAAAAACGTACGGAAGCGGTCGTGGATTTTAATTGTCTAAATAAACCGTTATTGGTAAGATCGGATATGCGTAGGCAATATGGAATGAAATCGATGAGATAAACGAATCAAAATTTTTCACAATCAATTATTCAAATTAATACCACTTTGAATCAACCAATTTCCAATGAAATATTAAGGTAAAATTAAATTGACAAATTCACGAACAGTTTGTGTGGGATCAATATGTCGAACACTTGGTGTGCACAACACCCCAAGTTCAATTTTCTATGAAATGATAGTGCAAAATTTTCAGCAATTACAATCAAAGTGATTGCAATGAGTTTTTAAAACATTTTTTCAGCACTACACTACAACATAAAATTACCGAACAATTGATATCACACAAACGTTAACAACACAAAGTAAAGAGATAGAGAAAGAGAGTACGACACCATATTTGTTTAGCAATTCACCTTTTCGTCCTCGCTTCGGGTACGTCTGCCCCAAATTCTAAAACTAGAATTGAGATATGTATAATATCAAGTTGCAAATTTTTGTACAAGAGAAGTTATAGCCACCACACACTTAAACCCAAATATTGATGTTGATTATATCTACTTCTCTCCTCTTGACTCCAACCGAATCAAGAACATCAAACTCTTCAATCAAACCTGCGGTTACCGCTACTTGCTTGAACGAACCCTGTAACGCCCCGATTCTGAATTCCCATTAATTGTTGAGTCATTTAATTTATTTAATTGATGTTTGTTTTAAATTGAGAAATTATATATTACTATGTGGTGTTTGCTTATTTTATCTATTTTTACCGATTCGGAGAGTTTTCGGGGGAATTAGAGTAAAAAGGGCATTTTAGACATTTAGCAATTTAGTGTGAGAATTGATTGGTAAGTGTTGGAAAGAATTTGAGAGGAAAGAAATAGAGATAGAAATAGGATAAGAGAGGAAAAGAAAGAAAAATAGGAACATAAGAAGAAAAACAAGAGAGAGAAAAGAGGAGAAGAGAAAGAGAAGAGAAAGTGGAGAGGAAAACCTAGAATCATCAAGGGATCATCACCAAAGCTTGCAATCGATCGGTAAGGGTGTGAAACTCCATCATCTCTTTAATGTATATGATTGTATGTGTATGTGTTTGGATTTTGTAGAGTTTCTACTCTTTTTCCACTTAGGTTAGAAGTTGGTTTGATGAGTAGAAAGAGGTTTTAATCGGTTAGAACTCGGATTAGACGATGTAGTTTAGTCGGGTGATGGTAGGGTTGTGCCACTGAGACTGGTTTGGATTTAATCGGTTGGTTGTGTGGAGTTTGGGCTTTGGAACAACCATGGAGGTTCTGTCTTCGCAGGCTCGCCAGACGAATGGCAGCGAAGCTTCGCCAGGCGAAGCCCAGCGAGCTGCAGCGAAGCAAGTCAGAAGCAAACACCCTGTCTTCGCTGGCATGTTCGCCAGGCGAAGTGAGTTGGCGAAGGTTCGCCAGGCGAGTGTGTAGCGAGCCTCAGCGAGTAATTCCAGAATTACTCTCAGTGGACTTCGCTGGGAAGTTCTCCAGGTGAAGGCCAGCGAGCATTCGCTGCGTGGCTTCGCCAGGCGAAGGTTGGCGAACCTGACAGTGTTATTTGTTTTGCTGTTTATTCATAGCATGATTTTTTGGCCGATTCAATTATGATTAATGCCTATATGAATGATTGATGTGTGAACTGTTTCGACATGTCGTGCTGTGGGTGGCCGAAAGGCGTGAATCCTAGATTGTAGAGCCAATGGTGAATCTTGAACGTTTGATAATCTTGTGTATTTGCTTGAATTGAATAGAAACGCATTGATAGGCTGATATGTGTGTAAACCATGTGTGAAATGGTGCATAATGTGAATGCATGATAGATATATGCGATGTATGTGATAAATGCAATGAGTATGTTTGTGAACATAGTATGCATTCTGTGTTGATCGATCCCTCGGAGGATTAGCATTGTGTAGCATCTTAGTATGCATTTTTGTGTTGAATGATCCCTCGGAGGATTTGCAGAACCTCGTATGATACGATGGTTACATTAGATTCCTTGGAGAATCGGTTGCATTGTGTGATTCCTCGGAGAATCGGTCATAACATGTAATCCCTTGGAGGATTGACTAGAGTATTTGATTCCGTGGAGAATCTGCAGAGTATTTGATTCTGTGGAGAATCTGCTGAATATTCGATTTCGTGGAGAATCTGATGAATATTTGATTCCGTGGAAAATCTACTGAATACTTGATTCCGTGGAGAATCTGCTGAATACTCGATTCCTTAGAGAATTTGTTGAAATGAGTCGGTACCGCATTTACATCTGCATAGAGTCGTGTGTCGGTCTCTATGAGTTGTATGAGTCATCTGTGTATGATGCATTAGTTGTATGAATGTAACCGTGTATGTTATATATGATTGTTTGGAGGAACATAT